CTATTTTAGATGCGATTTTTTGTTTTTATCTGCGTTTTAGTACGGTATGCCATGAAAACATACACTAAGAAGGGATTTTTCGAAATACCCCCTCAGGGGAAGAGAGAAAGGATTAAGAATTAACGGGAAGAACGGCTTCTACTGTACTATTTTAGATGCGATTTTTTGTTTTTATCTGTGTTTTAGTAGGGTATACCATGGGAATGCACACTAAGAAGGGATTTTTCGAAATTCCCCAGCGGGGGGAGAGGGAGAGCATTAAGGCTTAACCAGAAGAACAGCTTCTACTGTACTATTTTACATGCGATTTTTTGTTACGTTTAGTCTTCATTAAGTACTTAAGTGTATTAAATTAATAAAATTTCAGACATTGTTATAAATATTTTTATATATTTTGATTTTTTAACCAAATGTTCGAACCTTTTTAAATTTGAATTTGTTATTGCGTATCGGTTCGATTATAGAACGATTGTAAATGTTCCAGAAAATTGGTCAAATTAAAAATTGTTTGTTTGATTCTCAGCAATTCTCATCATTCTCAGTGGTAGGTGTTATATAACAATTACTATGGTTGTTGAAATACTGAATATAAATGGGGTTTGCTTGCAAAACCTCCGCGGGTGAAGTCGTGGGTAACAGCTAGTATATATATAATAGAGTTCTCTTTGTTATATATAACAGCCAGGAAAGTAAAAATTGTTAGATTATAGGAACTAATTTTTTAAAACAATACTTAATTGTATGACTGTAAAAAAAAAAAAAAAAGTGGAAACAGCGAAAGGAATTAAAATATATAACAAATTAATTTAAATGGATAAATTTTACTTTACCAATGTACATATGTACATATGTATTGTTTAAAAAAAATTGCTTTTATGTGTAACATTATTAACTGAAAAGGGAAGCTGAGTTCTGAAATGCATTTTAGTTAATGTTTATGGTAATAATGGCAATTTTTCAATGATGGAATTTTATTCTAATAAAATTTAAATAAACAACTTAAAATATTTGGTTGCTTGTGTATGAGAAATTGTAATATATTGTTTGTAATTGTTTTGTTTATGTAAAAATGAATGTGATAAATAATAATAATAATGTAAGGGCAAAAAGCAGAGTTAATAATAACAATGATAATTTTATATATTTCATTCATTCATTCTGTCCTCTTTACAGTGGGTTGCAGTTGATGGACAGTTCTTCCCCACTCTTCACAAATGTAGGCTTTTCCCAAGCTTGAGCCAGTCCATTTTTTGATGTTGTCTTGCCAGGTTAGCCTAGGTCTTCCCTTTCTCCATCTGCCCTCCACCTTACCTAATGTTATTGATAAGACGTCTATTAATTTTTATACCTTCATCTAGATTTTTGAATGCTTCTCTCATCATCCATTCACTGTAGATGTTAAAAAGTGTTGGGACAAACCACATCCCTGTCTTATTCCTTCTTTAATCTGAATCCATTTGGCATCCTCTCCCTGAAATATAACCATTGCTTTTTGACTTTTATAGACATTATAGATTATTCTCAGTAATTTTTTTTATCAATACCTATTTTTTGCAGAATCTCAAACAATAGCATTTCATTAACACTATCGAAGGCCTTCTCGAAGTCAACTAAACATACAAATAACCTCTAGTATGATCAATCATCCTTTATCCTGTAAGTTGTATCATTGTAATGGCTTCTCTTGTCCCTCTGCCTCTTCAGAAACCAAATTATGACTCATCTAGTTTCCAATTTATGTAGTTTTCTATTCTTCGCTGTATGATGTTAACTAAAACCTTTGAAGCATGGCTTATCAAACTAGTAGTTCTGAATTTATCACAGTATAAGGTACTCACAGTTTTAGGAACAGGGATGAACATAGATTTTGTGAAATCATTTGGAATATCTATCTCTAAAATTTTGCTAAAAAAATTAGTTAGGATTCCTTCCTTAAAGCTATGGGGAAATGTTCTATCTTCCTCCATAGCCTTAAGGGGTTCTCCTTGTATTTCATCCATTCCTGGTGCCTTTCTGTCCCTCAGCTTTTTCAATGCAGCATCAATCTCTTCCTTAAAAAAGGTTACTCTCTCTTCTTTCTCCTCATCCCTTCTAGGTTTAAATTGTCCTCATTTCCATAGAGATTATCTACATATCTTTCCCATCTTAGCACTTGTTTATCTTTCTGCAATAAAATGTTTTCATTTTCATCTCTCAGAGTCCCAATTCTGCATTTCCTTTTTTTCCCTGAGATTAACCTTAGCTTTTCATATACTCCTCTTAAGTTGTTCCCATTTACGCAATGACCATAATTGATTCCAGACCAGATTTCCAGACCATAATTGATTCAACCACTTTTCCTTTGCCTGTTTGCACATTATTCTTATTTGTTTATTATGATTCTATATTTTTCTTTTGTATTATTAGTGTTTTTATATTATCTTCTTTCATCCATCTTTTCTGCTATCTCCTCTGTGACCCAAGGCTTCTTTATTTGTCTCCTTTTCTTGCCGAGGATGTCAACCGCAGTGTCTTTAAATTTTTTTTCAAATCATTTCAGGTTTCTTCTGTGCTTCTATTAGTGTTGAAATTTTGCAGTCTTCCTGATATGTCAGCCTGAAAAGTCTTCTCAATGTAGTCTTTCCTCAATGCCTCTATATTGAGCCATTCTTTTGCTATTTTTGTCCTAACATATTTCAGCCTTATTCTTAGTTTTGTTACCAGTAGACTATGATCACTGTTGCAATCTGCATCTGGATAAGTCTGTGTTAATTATTGCATTTCTAAATCTGTAGTTGACTAGAATTTAATCAATTTGGTTTCTTGTTTCTGCTCTTCTTAACCTGTTCCAAGTAGCCAATCTTCTTTCATGATGTTGGAACTGGGTGTTAGTTACAATCATGTTGGTTCTTCTGCAAAATTCAATAAGTCTACTTCCTCTTTCATTCCTTTCTCCTAAGCCCCATGGTCCAATTACATTATCTTCTCTCCCTCTTCTGATCTTGGCATTCATGTCCCTCATAATAATCACTACATCTCTCTTCTTTTTAACTTGTAGGCATTTGTTTATTTGTTTATAAACTTCCTCTGTCTCCTCATCTGAATGGTCAACATTTATCCTCAGTGCTATAGTTCTATCAGATACTTCCAATATCCATCAATTAATTTAACCATCTTCTTTTCCAGCATTATCCCAACTCCTCTTTGATGTTCTGTTCCTCCTGAGTAAATAAATCTTTTTTCTTTCAGTGATAATATCTCCTTTTCCAGTCCATCTTGTTTCAGAAATCCCTAAGATTGAGATCTTCAGTCTTTTCATTTCATGCATTACATTTGCCATCTTTCCTATTTGATATAAAGATCTAACTATCCAGGTACCTGTATAAATGCATTTCTTAAGGTTTGCATAGCTGTGTGGAATTTTTGTATCCAATCCAAGAGTCCCTAATGGCTTTGATCCTGTAGTGTCATTTAAAGCATTTCTCTCGTTTGATCTGTGTACTTCCTGTAATTCCAGTACAGGTCTGCTGCACCTCTAACTGGTAGCCAATTGCATAGGGGTCATACTCCTATCCATTTCTCTGCTAAATGGATTATTTCTTCTGTCCATCAAATCTTGGGGAGACAGATACATGGTGGTTCCCTGTTGCATTTTATGCTTCAGCTCTTATATTTAATATAATTAATTATTTTTCAATTAATTACATCAAACAAAACTTTAAAATACAGTCGACCCCCCAATAACGCGGTAGATACGTTCCACTTTATAAGAATTTTACGTTGTAGGAATCCTTAAATACATGAGCCAATCATAGCCCGGCACGTGTGCAGTTTACGGACTACTGCTGTTTGAAAGGTTTTCTTCCATAAAATTAATTGATTCTAGACCAATTTGACTCAACATTTCTAAAACATGTATAATTTTTTGGGAATAATCCGTATGAACTATGCTATAAACAAAAAATTGTAGGATTACTTACCGAGTGTGCACCGTTCAACGACGCCATTGCTTAAGCTTGTTTTCGTCACAGAGCGGCGCACCAAACAGCGGGTGTGTTTTCTGATAAGTTATTTTTCTGCGAGAAATTTGTTGAACTTTGGAGACATCATTAATAGAAATAATTTTTATGGCCATTGAATAAGAAATGCTTTTTTCACAAGAAATGTATAAAATTACAGTACTGTATTAGACTTACAGTATCTAATTTACATACCGTACAGACGATAGTAAACTCAATTTACCTGCCTAAACTCTCCATAGCGTGTAAGTAGTTCGGCTGCTCGTCCACTATTGGTCCAGATTCGACCAATCCTGTCGTGACACGAGTCGGCAATGACGTTTTACCGCATTTTATGAGTCTCTTTTAGCATCTTTATACGAATACAGTCACAATTTTTTCGCCGCGATATACGAATCCGCATTATATGAACCTATGTTATGGGGGGGTCGATTGTATTTGATTACTTCAATTTTAAATTCTTCTATTCTATTCTCCTCTTCTAACATTAATCTTATTAATATTAATTAAATGCTTCCAAAATAAAAACGACAGGTATAACGAAAAATACAAAACAAATGTTTTCTTATGTTCCACAGAATTGCATGTACAAAGAGACACTATGGTTTACACAAACCTAGCCACCACAACAGTTTTGACATTGTATATTTTGCATTCTAAATATATAAAATTCCAGAAATGTTATGTATCGTATCCAATTATAAATATATTCCTACAATAATTCAATTAAAAGAGATTTTTCAGTAAGATTTCAAATAAATTTGTCGATTCTATGCTATTAAATATAAGAAGGACAGTCACAAATATTATTTGCTAGCAAATGAATAAAACTCGAATGTAGAAATCATAAATAATTATTATTTGTATTGACAATGATGAAATTGTGTCCTCTGTGTAGAAGGTGAATACAATATGCAATTGTTCCATTTCTATGTAACATTATATTCACAGTGGTACCATTCAACTTCTAGTTCTGAAACCATTCTTTACTTTTTCCCTTCTGTTCTTTCTTGTAAATATACATATACCTTGCTTTGAGAAATGGCAGAAAAATTTAATTTCTAAGTTATTTAGAATGATTTTTAAAATGTTGATATTAAGCCAGAAAGATTCAAAAGCATTAGTTTTAAATCTTTAAAACTTTGCTCCAATAATGAGTTTAGATTGCAGTAACGATATCAACGAGCAATTATTTGTTATGACATTGTCACAATGCTGGGCTGAAATTTTTAATCATATTCTTAATTTATTCAATTTAAAATATATGTTATCCATCTCAACTTGTAGTGTCTTGCCCCTGTACATCATACTATTCCTGATGACAACAGAGTTGTGCTAGTCATCTATGTAACTCCCAGTCTAAACAGGAAGTTCGTATACAGTTAATTGGAGCCTCCTGCACCTAAGTTTTCCATATCTGGTCTCAACTTTTATCTATCTAGCACTGTTCTCATGATTAAGGAAGGAGACAGCAGACAGAGGGAATATATAGATATACAATTTTTTCAAACTGTAGCCCAATAATAATTATTATACAGTAAGATGCAATTTTCTTATGTTTGTATCTTATTGTTTTTAAAAAATTTTTAAATTTAATTAAGAAAATGCTGTCCAAATCAATTATATCAATATATTACCATGTGTCAAACTGTGGCTCATACAGCTGAATGTTGTTCTTTTAGACTCTTATTGAAGATCCCATATAGTTGTATAATTTCTTTTTTATAAACTTAGTACATACTGCTTACACATACATAATATTTTTGTAAGATTTTTGACTATTACATTTAGTATATATATAAAGATTTTAGGTGCAATTCACAACTTAATGTTGAACAGACAATTGAAAGCTTAAGGTATGGTACATGCATAAAGTTGAAGGAGTTAAATAATTAAAGAAGAAAAAAAAAAAGTCAGTATCACTGTAGATTTGTTATTGCCTCTGCTAAGCATGTGAAGGGACAGATAAAGATGGACTCAATTATATGTATAGTCCAAAAAGAAATATATTTTTTCTATAAGAGTTAAATAATTGTTTATCTAGTCAGTCATAAAGTACCAGTAAAGTCATAACAGTGATAACTATAGTATTTTAACTATATATAATATAAATAGATGATGTAGATTCTAATAGTCATGTAGCTCTTGTGTATTTCTGATAGGCAGTGTATGTCTCCTAATATGACAAAGTTTGGCCACCCCTGACATATTATATGAAAAAAATAATAGGAAACATTTTTAAATAGATTGTAGAAAATTTTCATTGTATTTTGTTTACAAATTACATTATTTCATTTTCTACATATATAATTGTAATAATACTAATAAATATAAATTTAATTGATTTTCCATTTTACTTTAGAAATATTATTTTTCTTTGCTTGATAATCATTTTTATTTCATTAATACCTCATTTTATTGTTAAATTAACAGAGTGTTTGCTTTAAGAGCATTTGTCACTTTATGCATAAACAAACTGATTTTAACATTCAAAACTATCAAAATATGTCAATTATGAAGTAATTGTGCAAATAAATTTAAGAATGTTTTAGTTTGATAAATATTGTTTATAATCATTTATAAATATCTTTTGGTAAAACAGATTTAATTAGTAATTTACTTATTACTTAATAAAAATTAAATTGGAAATAAATTATAATAATCAGAGCTTACATTTATATAAGAATCACTGGAATTGCCATCTTGTTGAGATTTCACTAAAGCGCACAATCCTGGCACAACAACCATTTCCTTATTATATATTTATACACCTATATTTAAATAGAAAAATTTTAATTTCAAATGGAAAATTTAGCTTAAAATAGCCAAAGTGGCTATCGCCTACCTGGACGTACGAGCACCTGCCCGTCTCCAATGTAGATCAATATCATACTGCCGTCATATAATTGCTTGATGAGTTTTTCTATATATATATATAAAAAAAATTTAATTTATAAAATTATATTTGTATTTTACTTTATATAATATTAAATCAATTACTGGTATATGTTTTATACAGTTATACTTAAATTTTAAAACTGTACACTTAAAATTTTACTATCTATTAATGGTTTGCTACCAATATTTGTTAACCACTAAAAATATATATATTGTATTTATTGATAAATTTTTGTATGAAAGCTGTAAAATCTGTTATTTATTCTGGAAGTTATTTTTATGAATGAAATAATCCTAATTTTGTTCAATAAATGAAAATCTGGGGCCGTATTCTGGTCACTGTCTCTGGTCTCGTCTCTCGCAAGCTGGTCGCTGATTGTCTAATCATTTGGATTAGTCAATCAGCGACTGGCTTGCGAGACGAGAGACAGTGACCAGAATATGGCCTCTGATAAACTAATTTTAATATTTCATCATCATTTTAACAATATAAAAAGATTAAATTAAATAATTCAATGATAAAATATTAGATTATCAGCCTTGATTCAATATAAATATTATCTATCAAAATAATTTAATAAAATTAAAATTACTCTTAATAACAAATAATTTTTATATCATCAATTAAAAATATCAGAAGTTATACCATGTTTTATTACTTGATTATGAAATCTAATTTTTAAAATTCTTTTTATAAACATTAGAACAATCTCACTTGTGCATTTAATATGAAAGAAAATCAATACCAAATTGATCTAGAAAATAGAATTTTGTTTCTTTGAAATCTAAAATATTCCAAATTCATCATTTTATTAACTTAACGATGTTAAGGGACAAATGGCCAAAGCAGTAAAAGTATCAGCCTATTATTCTAGGATCTGGATTTGAGTCCAGATCACAAATTTTCATGTATGATTGACCTGGAAAAGTTGGACACCATTGCTTATCATTCTGTTGCTTCCATTATGAACTTTGGCAAATTCATAATGGGCATAAAAAAAGACCATCTTACAGGGCAGTTTAAAAAACATCTTGTAATAAATGGTCAAAGTTTATTATTAAATATATAAAAATCTATTTTATAAAACTATTAATTTGTTTCAGAAAATGAATACTTTGTATGTTTTCATGCATTATTTATAATAAAGAATGTGGATAACAAACAGTGTTATATAAAGTATAGTAATTATAAGTTTTTGTTTTATTTATTTATTTTTGTTTTGATTTTAATTTAAGATGCTTGTAAAAGGCCAACGTGGCCACAGTGTCTTTTTGAGAAAAAAAAAAAAAATTATAAATAGATTATATTAATTTATGAACTTTTTGTTTGTTATTTAAATTAAATCAATAGATTCTGACTTTTTATATGATTAGAATTTAATTAATTTAGAATGTAAATCAGATGGGTAAGCAATATCATAGTATATATTAGAATTAAATTAGAATTAATTAGAATTCAAAGACCATAAAAAATGTTTACTTTTTAAGTGGGTGAATATTTTAATCATAATATTACCAATAGGTATCTACTTTCCAAAACTGTTTTCTAATTAGTCCAATTGTGGTTCCAATGACAAATTAAAAGTTGCTATGCACTGTTTTACCAATACATATATTTATTCCATTGTAACAAATACAACAAAATAGGCTTCCATAGAAACACTGTAATTTCAAACTTGTAGCATTTCCTTTTCATTACACCATGTTTAGCTGCCAACAAACATCAAGAGAAAACATTACACCTATTGGTAATATTATGATTAAAAATTAGAATTCAATTTTAGAAACATCTAATGAAAAAATTGATCCAAAATAGAATCCAAACAGATAATTCTCACAAATTTTTATTAAGAGTTCTTTCTTACAAATTAATAAAGAATTTTTATTTAGAAATAATTATTAAAAGAATCAAATAATTTTGCCTATAAGGGCATTGCCAATAGCATTTATAAATAAATAAATATATAAGTAATAAACAGATTTTAATTTGAAAAATTTAATAAGTAACTAGAATTGTAACTCACACTTTAAATTAATTTGAATTTTCAGTATCAAATATGACAATATTTTCTTAAATATGCCAGTTCTTTATTAAATGCATTATATAAAATGTGAAATGATGTAGAAATATGTACAGGCATACCTCGACTTACGTCGGTTTCGAGTTATGTCGTTCCCGATTATACGTCGCTTGTTAAAAAAGTATATGGAAAAATAAAAATCAAGTTTAAGTCATTTTATTCGACTTTACGTCTGTCCGCCACAAATATTGAAGTCGTAATATCACTAGATAAACGTTTAAAGCACATAAAATCATATTAAAATATATACAAGTATGTACTGTATTTACAGTACACGCATTCGTAAATTTAGATTACTTTTTTTGTACTATATTAAAAACTAAAATTTATTTGTTTGTAAGCTTAAAATAGATTTTTATTAACCATATATTATTTAAAATGCTTTCCTAGTGATAAGTAGATTCGGAGACAGGTAAATTCGACTTACGTCGTTTTCCTGGAACCAATTACCGACGTAAGGCGAGGTATACCTGTATTGTATAATGTTAATTATGACATTAGTTACAATTCAGTTATAAAAATTTTATATAGTACATAAATATTACATATATACTGCAATAAGTTTAATAATATTTTCTTGCATGTATTTTTCCAGGTTTTTAGTTAAATGTTGCATTTTTGATCATCTAAACATTCTCAGACTAATACAGCTGATGTAAACTCTTCCAATTGTATAAATGTCTAGCATAATTAAATGTTGCATTTTTGATCATCTAAACATTCTCAGACTAATACAGCTGATGTAAACTCTTCCAATTGTATAAATGTCTATTATAATTTTTATTTTCATTTTATGGACTTAGTCACTACGCTTACATAGTCCATATAATGAGATTAAGCAATTCGTGTAAATTCTTAAATCAGGGGTGTCCAACCCACGGGCCGCATGCGGCCAAGGCAAGTTCCAATGCGCTCCAATAAAGGTGTAAACAAAACCGACAAATGTTTTAATTTTTTATTATTTATTTATTTCAACGGCATAAACTCAGAAAAGAAGTTTTACAAAG